GCATCTAGAAGAAGATGGGCTCTCTCTCTTAATGAAAACAAGTGCGTCCTGGGCACTAACAAGCTGAAGTTCTTCGGACATGTGATCTCCTCTGCAGGAGTCAGTGTACACCCAGAAAAGGTTGAAGCAGTAGCAGCAATGACACCGCTGAAAAACCTTACTGAGGTGATAAGTCTCCTTGCCATGATAAACTATAGCAACCGCTTCATTCCTCTCTTAGCTTTCATGGTAGAGCCACTAAGGAAGCTCACACATGCAATGCAGAATTTTGCTGGAATAGAGAGCACCAAAACGCCCTGGACAGTGTAAAGAAAGAAATATTTTAAATGCGCACTCTCACATATTTCGAGGACACAAAAGAGACACACATCATAACAGACGCTGGACCAGAAGGGATAGCGGGAGTGCTAGCGCAAGAAGACCCAAAATACAAAAGTCGCAGCATTTTGGCGTACTTCAGCAGAGCCTTTTAACTCCCACAGAGAGAAGGTACCCCCACATTGACCGTTAAATGTTGGTCATTGTGACAATCATTGAGCATTTTCGGTTGTACCTTGCAGAAGGCAATTTTGAAGTGAAGACAGACCACCTGCCCCTGGTGTCCACCATACGAAAACCAAGCATCAAGCTCTCAGCAAGACTCGAATGTCTAAGCCTTAGGCTACAACACTACACCTTCAACATTGAACACATTGCAGGAAAGGACAACCGGACAGACTACCTTTCAAAACACACACCAGCCAGCAACAATGCTGTCAACAGTCAAGAAACTTGTGCAACAAAAGAGTACATCACCTTTGTCGTCGAATCCACTATTCCAAAGGCACTTACTGTGCAAGAAGGCGAGAAAATGTACACTGCTGACTCTCACATGCAGCTTCTGATTAAGGCTTTGCAGACAACTGCGCCAAAAGCCTGTGAAGACATGTGAAAGAACGGCAAGCTGAAACCATATGCGCGAACCAAAGATGAGCTCACAGTCTCCGAAAACAACATCGTGCTCACAGGAACAAGACTAGTAATCCCTGAAAGAGCACAAGCCCAAATTGTTTCCCTCGCACTTAGAGGTCACCAAGGCTTGGTGAAGACCAAACAGCTGATCAGGAAGAAAGTGTGGTTTCCAGGGATTGACAGGAAAGTAGAAGACGCAATAAAACACTGTGAAGCATGCCAGAGAACTGTGGTTGAGAACAAGACACCCCCTCTAGTCATGACACCACTGCCAAGTGGACCCTGGCAGTCTGCGGCAATGGACTTTGCTGGCCCCCTACCCGGCAACAAGTACGTCCTAGTGGTTGTTGACGCTTTCCTGTGACAGCGACCTTTTCCTCGCTAACTTCAAAGGCAGTGGCACAGAGACTAAGCGACATATTCACAGTACACGGAATGCCAGAGATGATGAAGACTGACAATGGCGCTCCATTCTTTGGGAAGGACTTCGCCGACTTCATGAATTCATGTGGCATGCGTCATCGCGGTATCACTCCCCTGTGGCCTCAGGCAAATGGAGAGGTCGAAAGGCTTATGAGAAAATATGAAAAAGCTTGTGAAGAGTGCTGGCGTTGAGCAGAGAGACTGGAAAGCAGAACTGAACAAATTCCTTCTGAATTACAGAGCGACGCCTCACTCAACCACAGGTCTCACACCAGCTGAACTGCTATTTGGGCGAAAAATCAGAACAAAACTTCCTGAAGTTCCAGAAAAGCGCACGCATAACAAGCTGGCAGAAATCGACCTAAAAAAAACAGCAAAGCAAGGCGTACGCTGATAATACATAGAAGAAATGCTGCACCACACACATTTCAAAAAGGAGACTCAGTACTCCTAAAACGACACTCGCGTCTTTCTCATGAGTCTGCCGACGAGCTAGTCCCTTACACAGTGACCAGAGTACAGGGGACAGCGATAACTGCAGAGCGAGACGGCAGACGGATTCTGAGGAATGCATGGTTCTTCAAACGCATCCAGCGAAGCCAGCAACACAGCCCAACCACCGTGTACTGGTATGACTACACCCTTATGAACACATCACAAGGTCACAGCATGCAACCCAGCAGTCCCCCTAGATCCTCAACATCAACTGACAGTAGTGAACCACCTCCGCCTAATGCCAGGCGAAACCAAGATCGTTAAGATCACAGGACCAAGACAAAGGTCTTTTCAGACTTTGACGTCGGCCAAGTGCAGACTGAAAGTCCAGAGAGATGTAGCATAGTTAGCCAACAAGCAGCGGCCCCTACGCATCAGGAATTAAACCGAGCAGGCGCGGACAGGGGAGACGACCGCGGCAGGCATGGCGGCCGGCAGCTAGAAAATAAAGAGTATGTTGAGTTTTTTTGCTACCAAGTGTTTCTGTCTCCTAAATACTAGATGTCACTCCCGGACCAGGAGTAGAGACACTACAATATCCACATAGGTTTGATGCTGAATCTGAATTGCTGTACCTTGTCAGTACTTTTCATTGACGAGCCCTACTGGAAACTTGACTTCATGCAACAAACGTAGCTCCATTGACTGTGATGAACCTTTAGCATCATGCTCTACCATGTGTTACTGTACTGCTTCACTGCATTTAAAATCGATATCAATCAACTCGTTTAGTTTCATGTCATGTAATGTTAATTTTTAATTCCAGCTTACTGATGCAGTTTTATTACTAACTACACTACTAACCACAACCTTTGTTCACGTTAAGTGTATAAAATTTCATGTTGTAGGTGCTATCACTGGAACCTCTTAATTGTTTGGGACTACAGAGACGAATTTGAATACAGGTGCATACCTGCCAAGTTCAAGGATTCTGAGTCCAGAAGATTTCCGCAACGGGGAAAGGGGGGGGGGGTGCCACGCTCATTTCTACTCAATTTTTGGAACCAAAAGATTTAAAAAATACATCGCGAAAAACAAGAAGCGCTAAAAACAATAGATAGAGGGTGGTCCCATTCGCAAGCATTGGCATTGCGGTCTTAATAATGGCTTGGAGTGGCTGAACACACGAGGGTACGGTTTCCCTTTAAAGTGAGAGTCTCAAAGTGGCAGCGCAAATACGACCGAAATTTCGTGTCAGAAAAACAACGAGCAAAATCTATTTTCGTCCAAACAACTCACGTACGTCTTCCTGGGACAAACATGAACGGACGGAACGGCACAGCTGGCTGCCACGAAAGCCAATTGTCAAAAAGCCAAGGTCAAAGCGTTGCTCGCTACTAGATTCTTTTCACAGGAACGCCAAAATGCGTCTAGCATTTTTTACCTCTTTACTGCCTTTAATATACTGTTATGTTAGCCGCATGCCCTCGAAGCTCGTACATTGCTGTCGTGTCGCTGCGGCCGCGGTTTTGTGTACGGCGGTTGTGGCAAGCGGTAGTTTCATTTTCAACCTGCGTGTGCTGGCTGCGCACGTGCCTTCAAAACTAATTCGTTCTATGCCATGATTGCACCTACCACAGTTTTCTCCACAGAGTTTGCGGAAAGCGGCGTTGCTTTGACTTCGAGCGTTGTATGCACGCACACTTTTGGATTTCTCTCAGTTACGTTGTCGCCATACACGATCGTGTCAAAAATGATCGCGGTTGCGGCAATGACAGAAACGTAGCCACTATAGCCACATGCACAGCAGTGCATGCACTGGCAGTATGCGTACTTCCACAGTTCGATCACGCTGTTCTCAGCCTTTGTTTGACGATTTTAGTACTAAAGTTGATAACACCCGCCGCAACTAGGAAAAGTCTTGGAACATTCGAATTTGGCTGGGTAATTTCACGAATTTGTATCTGCCGCGGTTTGCAAAAAGCCTGGAGAGGATTAATCTGCACTTTTGTCAATGCTGCCAGATCAGGCACAGATATTTTGATTTCCGGGAGATTTTAATGACAAGCATACAAACGAAAGAAACGGTCCTAATCCAGGAGTCTCCCGGACAATCCGGGAGACTTGGCAGGTATGCAGGTGACAAGACATGTGAAAAAAAAAAAAAAATGATTTACAACTATTTCAGCAGCAACAGTTAATTTTTATATAATCGCATGCTTCCAGGTATGATGTAGTGATGTTTCTTTTGACAGAAGGTGTTTCATGACTCCCTCCTTTAATTAATATCTTTTTCCTCTAGCCTATTGGTAATTCTTGGCCATTTCATGAATGGCAGTCACTTCAATTTGGTGCTTGAGCAGCAAACAGCAGAGAGCATAAAATGAATTTGACATTTGCACTGTCAAATGACATCAGTGCATGGTGCATGCATCACATGCCAGTTTTCGCCATTATTCTATTGTGACAGCTATAGCTTTGAGATGCTGTTAGACTGCACTCTGGGATTGACCCACATATTCGTCAGACATGTGCTATCATATTTTTACCCCGTAAAGTGCGAGTGGTCCATCTATAATGAATTGCATAAGAATGCATCATCATTATACAAATTTCTGCCACTAGAGCTTAAAAATTTTACATCAATCATGCATCTTAAACATTAAGATACACGCCAAATAGAACATCTGAGAGCTACTGCTGAGTGAGCGGCATCTGGGGAAGCTATGGTTCTATTCATATTCCAGCACCAGCGTGATGACATCTCTTAAATTAAGTCTTCATTGTCTCAAGTGGTGTAAACATGATGCTTCAGAAGCCTCATGCCCTCCATGCAATGTTAGTGCCTGAAAAGGGCACATGTGCCAAAACCATGATCAATTATGAGGCACACTGTAGTAAGGACTCCAGATTACTTTTGACCACTTGGGGTTCTTCAGCGTGCACATAAATTTACTTACACGGGCACTTCCATATTTTTGCCCCCATATTATTGAAGCCAATGTGGCCATGAAGCGAACCAATGTACTTGCGCTAAGCAGCACAGCACTTTGACAGCTTGTATGCTACCACAGCAAGTGTATGATTACATAGCTATTACAGCATAATGTTTGTAGATATCCAGAGAGAAAGTCAATTCTATGATGGGTAGCATGAAAAATGATGTTCTAGAAGGGTAGCTGCCCTCTTACCTTATTGCCTTCTCCTGGTAGCTTGCAAACACCCATGTACTTCCTGGGACTGCCGCCCTCATGTGGTACAGCAAGATCGTCAGTCAAAAAGTCTGTATAAGCACATGAACGAGTGTTTCAATGTAAAATAAAGGAATCAATGTTCTTGAAGAATCTACATGATATGTGTGCATGCAGAGGCAACTACAATCACAGCTTCTGTAACAGTAAATTATCAGAGTTAGCAGTAATAAGTACTTTTGAATCTTGGTACCTCTGGGAACAAACCAGATTTTCACTAAATGTTTTTTGCTGGTAGAAAATCTTGCCAAGCAAAGTGTTTTGCCACTCGTAAGGAATTTGCATCTCGAAGAAGGACTCTATCAAAAAAACTTTTTTATTTATATGGATGCCCCATCTCTAGCTACATCACAGATAGCTTTGCACAAGAAAATTTGCTGTACCTCTGGGATGCAGACTAGAACTGAAGCTAGGAAACAGTAAGCAATAGGAATACACTGCTCAGTGATTCAAGTGCAGTAATGAGCCTTTGTAAGTGGCTGTGCGGCAGCAATAACCAGTGAGTGCTGGGTGATAACTAGAGAACAAAGGCGGTAACAATGCGACACAAAGGCCCTTGCTTTCAATGTATACCACAGTGAATCAGCTCAGAGTTTTCAAAGCCAAACAGCAGCATGAAAGCCACCAGCTGCCACATGAACTGATTACCCCATTAGGCTTTCAAAACACTGTGAGAACATCTGGATCTCCTATGCAGCCATTCGAAGCCTGTTTGCGGGTGGGGGTGATCTTCCATTCCTTGGTGCATGAATACCATTGGAAAAAAAAAAAGCCCCTATGAAAGTCACCAAGATTTCATAGAGGCAACATAAATGGGCTTTTTTTTTGTAAAAGTGTATCTGTTCCCCAAGAAGTAAGGCTTTTGAATTGTGTCAGCATGTGAGCACATTTGGAAAATTCGCAAGCATATCAGATTTCTCCAAGTTGTGTGTTTAGTGTAAAAGCTGGAATCATGCATATGCCACTTTGAATCGTGCGCATTTGTGTGTCAACTGTATTCATAGTTTTTTTCTGTACACTGAAATGAATAAGTCAGAGAAGCAGCAGGCTTGTACAAAATTCTGAATAAAGAGTTGAAAATTTCCGAAGACATGTCAAATATTAATAACAGCTTTTGGGACTTGTCTTTACAGAAGACTGCAATGCACAAGCGGTAGAAATAATTTAACGAATCCAGTACACTAGTCAAAAAATGATTGTTCGGGAAGACCGTGAACACAATAGAAATTGATTCAAGCCCGGAGATATAATGAAGTGATTCACTGCCACCATTGCCTGATTCTTCAGGAATTGACGAGGTTGAACGAAACTGATAACATAGCAGCAAGATTTGTGCCACAGCTTTTGTCATATGAACAAAAAGGAGGTATGACTGAAAGAGCTTCTGAGGCAGGCTGCATTCTAAATGGTTGATTGGGCGAGTTGGTCAAAATGGTTGATTGGGCGAGTTGGTGATACATGACTAATTATGAAATGGAAGCGCACAACGTTGAAGCGCACAACGTTGTCCCTGTCTTTCCGTCTGCTTCAACGTTGTGCGCTTCCATTTCATAATTAGTCATGCATTCTAAAGAAAAATTTACGAAGAAAATTCCTACTGGGGGATGAGACAGGGGTTTACAGTTTCAATGTAGAAGCCTAAAATTATTCTGTCCACTGAATCAAATAGAGCTCAATTTGTCACACCTTGATGATGCTAAAGAAGAGATGAAAGGAAACGGCCATGTCCATTGTATGGAGGGCGCATGTGATCACACCACCCCATGTGTGAGGCCTGTTATCGATATCGATTGCTCCTCAAGCAGAGAGGGAACAATGTTATCTTTTGTTGGAGGAAGGAGCTGCGACGCTTGATCTGCAACTCCAAGCTTTGATCATAAGGGTGTGGTCGTGAGCAATGGCACATGTGTTACCTTGGTGGTATACCCTTCTATATTATTTATTTAGTTACACATACTGCAATGCTAATTGCACTATGGCAGGAGTGGGTAAACAAGGATACACAGAAAGATAACTAAGAACAATGAGAACAATGCAAACAGGTGACATAATAATGTTGTGTGAACATTAAAGGGCCACTCACCCGGTTTGACAATTTTGAGCTGACAAGCGCAATGCGTAGACGAGGCGTACATGATCACGTCTGCCAAAATTTGCAATGCTGCGCGCCGCGGTAATGGGTCATCAAATTTCAAGATGAAAGCTGCTCCCCCTCCCCTCTGCCGGCGCACGCGTAGAAAATGAGGGCATGACATGGGCGTAGGAATGGCCCTACGTACACGGCATTGCGGTGACGTTGGTCCTCTACGTAGACGACTCTGCTCTGACGTTGTCAACATTATACCACGTGACATGGCAAAAATTATTTAACACAACATGCGTAGTTTATGTATTTGTTGCTTTAAGAGATGAATAAAACTTGAAATAATGAGACGCAATAAAAAATTGTGCGCGTTTTTCTTATATTTTTTCCCGTGAAATGCTATGAGATGCGGGGCTAATGTGACAGCGTTTCGCATGCGTTTGGGTCCCCGCGGTCAGCGCATTGAGCAGACGACCGCCTTGATACGCTCCTACACGTTCGCTCACTTATTTTGCTCATCTACTCTACCGCGTCTAAGCCAGCGTTTCCAAACAATCCCGCAGAAACAGGCAGAAGACCACAAAATAACGCTGGTCCACAAAGCAACGCCGCTCGTGTGCACGGGGGCTGGGCTTGTTCGGGCACGTCATGTGCACGTCACCTCTTGGTCGGATGCCGGAGAGGCTGGGGAAGAGATTTGGCTTGCGAAGGCTACGCGGAGGAGCGGCAAGTGTTTCAAGCTCGCCTCCCCTCACCCTTGTTTCGCGCTGCTTCAAAAAACCTGCTTTCTCCGCTCGTAATGAACCGATTCGAAAAAATTTTGGGGCAAAACGTTCCTCATCGGACACCCAACAACTTCCACTGTCTAACTAAAATTCGGTATGGGGCCTGGTGAGTGGCCCTTTAAGGCATAAATATCAGAACATGGAAAGAAAGAACAAATAAATACAATTTGCAAACAGATCAACGTATATCACATATATGTGTTGTGAATTTCGGCTGCAAAACTCTGCGATGGGCATGAGCGAACAGGACCAGGTAATTAATTCTAGTCTTCGGTGGAACGTGGGAAAAAACTGAACCTGAACATAGTAGTTCAAGCGTAGTAAGACCTCAAATTTAGGTTGTGATCGCTTCTCGTCATTGACTGTGGGGCAAAGTTTATGTATTCCTCGTTATTTGACAGTTAAACTGTGGAGGAAACGATGATTAGCAAGAATTTTAATGACTCTATTTAGCAATGCGAATGGAGTGGAGTTAATTTCAATTAATATAGAGCAGAAGAGGGTGAGAAATCGCGATCGCAACGATGACATATGATTCTTATTGCTTTTTTCTGAACTGCTTCCAGTTCTTGAATCTCGCACTGCTTATATGGGTTCCAGACAATAGATGCGTAGTCAAGTACAGGATGAACTAGTGATGTATATAAGAGCAGCTTTGTGTGTTTTGGAGATTCAGACAGTCTGTGACGTAGATAGCCTTGTGTTTTCAATGCATTGTTATATATATAGCGATGTGCTTGGGCCATGACATATTGTGTGTAAAAATAACACGGAGCTTATATTCGAAAGCCCTACTTACACGACAGTTATCGAAAGAGTAATCAAAAACAGAGGGCGATTTATTACAAAAAGACATAAACATGCTTTTCTTAAAGTTAATGTTCATCTGCCAGGTTTCGCACCAATTGCAAAACCCAGCAAACGACTCCTACAAGCGATAATGGTCGCTGTGTGTTTTGATCACTTCATACAAAATGCAATCACCGTCAGCATAAAAACAAACTGGAGAAGAGGTTTCGGCAGGCAAGTTGTTCACGTAAAGTAAAAAGAGTGTCAGGCCTGAGCGGAAGGCGCAGCACAGTCACAGCAAAAGCTAGAAGAGCAGCCTTTGAGAGCCTTTGAAAACACTCCTTGGGTAACTGCTGAAAGCACACTTGCTGGGTACCCACTACGGCATTAATAATAATTTCTGGGTAGTAGGCCAGCATTCCCTATGCTATTCTTCGCCATTCTTCTGAGAAGCGTGGTACCCGATAAACACTTGCAAAAAATTTTGAGCCAATTGTTTATGCAGTGGCTGACAACGATGAAAAATTATGCCTGAAGTGGGTGTGTGCCACAGTTAATAGGTCATCAAGAACAAGCTTTTGTAATGGGTCGGAGCATTGGACGACCCACTCGCTATGCTATTCGCATCGTGTAACGTGTGGTTGTTCTTTTACTGTTCTAAAACACTTTATGACTCATATTAGCGCGATTTCTTTCTCGACATTAAGTCTGCCTAAGGGAAGTTTGCGAACAAGTCCCAAGCACTAGCGTGGCTCAGTGGTCGAATACTGGGCTGGCAGGCAGTGGACCCGAGTTCGAGCCCCACTGCGTCCTTGGTACTAGTTTTTTTTCTTATTTCATGCTATAATGGTTACGGGCAGTGGTGGCGGACTACGGTGTCGCACATGACCCGATTTCGGGTCTCATAACAGCTTTCACTGTAAGAAGTAAAGGCCCAAGAACAAACCCTTGAGGCACTCCAGATGTTACATTAATAACAGCAGAGTTGGTTGACCTGTAAGAAACAAACTGGGATCGATTGATTGATTTGTGGGGTTTAACGTCCCAAAACCACCATATGATTATGAGAGACACCGTAGTGGAGGGTTCCGGAAATTTCGACCACCTGGGGTTCTTTCGGGTCGCACATGACCCGATTTCGGGTCTCATAACAGCTTTCACTGTAAGAAGTAAAGGCCCAAGAACAAACCCTTGAGGCACTCCAGATGTTACATTAATAACAGCAGAGTTGGTTGACCTGTAAGAAACAAACTGGGATCGATTGATTGATTTGTGGGGTTTAACGTCCCAAAACCACCATATGATTATGAGAGACACCGTAGTGGAGGGTTCCGGAAATTTCGACCACCTGGGGTTCTTTAACGTGCACCCAAAT